AAAAACTGTTCCATTTGATAGCAGAAATATTCTAAACAACTTACAAATAAATTTTGTAATCAGTTAATACAGGAATACTATAATAATATGTAAATCTAAGACGATTTACAGTACATGTATAATTACCGTTCTAGTGTTAAATAAGCAAATATATATAAGGCATGCTATTCAACATTATCAATTTAGAATATAATCATAATGTGTATGTAGGTTTAAATTGCCTCTACAGGACGTTCACACTATGATCTAAACACTAACCATCCAGACGCACAACAGGCGAGTTTTTAAAACATCCTTCCCTGGAGGCAGATAGTGAACTACTAACAAAGTACTTCCTATATATGAAACAGTACAATATTTTGGAACACAAAACAAGAAGTATGTCTCTATACACAGTTTTATTACACCTCTACTTTATTTACTCTATATAAAAGTAATTGGAAATCGAATATATCCCCACTTTTGCCTGAGTGTGTTTTAGTCCTGTGTGTTAGTCTGTGAACTAAAACCCCCCTACACTCGGGTGTTACCGCCGAGCCAATCAGGCGAGAGGTGGGCGGAGCTTGTTACCGAACTCGGCAGTGACGCGCGAGGTGGGCGGAGCTTGCTGCCGAACTCCGAAGCATTTGGCTCCATTGCCATCAAAGGGGTAGCTGGGACGTGAGGCTATACAGCTTATGGTTTACAAATATTTTCAAGTTAAAACTATCTCTGCAGTGTGTATTCGGTATAATAAAATGATTAACGTATGGGGTTGCTGCCGAACTCGTAAGCATTTGGCCCCATTGCCATCAAAAGGGTATTTGGGACGTGAAGCTATACAGCTTATGGTTTACAAATATTTTCTAGTTAAAACTATCTCTCCAGTGTGTATCAGTATAATAAAACGGTTAAAGTATGGGGTTGAGGCATATATAGCAAGTTTCTGGTGTCCCTTGACCATGCCTATTTCCCTCGGCTTCGCCTCGGGAAATAGACCTGGTCTTGGGACACCAGAAACTTGCTATATCCCTCAACCCCATACTCTAACTGTATAATAATGACGACTGATTAAGGGTGACGTATTTATGCTAATACTGAAGAGCTGTTCCATACAGTCCCTTGCATGTGTACATCAAAATATCGTACAATTGCCTGTATGGTGCTTAAACCAATGATTCAAGTTGCATTAAAATATATTCTCGTGATCGTTCAGCAAAATGGCTAATTCCCGATGTCTGTATCTCCCTTCGAATTTACGCAACGTTATCTTTCTTTTGAAATATGATTTAGTTACAGTATAAATCCTGAAAACATAAGATATTAACTAAACATAGTTTTAACTTCGCTTAAATATTACCTTGAAGCATGACATCTCCAGTGCTTACAAAGCATAATTCTTCCAATAAGATAATTAGAACTATCTAAATTAGGCATTTACTTAGGTAATTAGAAATATCTCATTGAAACGTTTAGTTAAGTAACTACATGTACAAAGCTCACATATAGACATTTAGTTACGTAATTAGAAATGTCACTTTTAGACATTTCAATAAGTAATTTTTAATCTCTCAATTAGACCTTTAGTTCGGTAATTATACATATCTCATTAAGGCATTTGAATAAGTGATTATAAACGTCTCATTTAGACATTTAATTTGTTGTTTCCGTCCACTTTCGCTAATACTAATTCTACAGGTACGATGTTCCTTATTACCACTCAAATTCAATATTTTATGGATTTTTGTCATTCTGGAGCTAATCAACGACTGCTATTATAACAGCTGATTAAACACAATTCTGTTTACCAATGTGTTTCTAAAAGGAAAAAAGATAGTCTGGTCACATAAATCACGTTTATATTACCTAGCTAGATTACGTATGGAATCTCAGGTATCATTTACTGCAATTATATCGGGCTACGTAACGAATGGTTGGCTGATGTTATATTTCCAAGGAAAGTTTTGATCGGTTCTAATTAATGTGTCTATGAGAAATATCGTGCAACATATATTGCGCACATATCGATAAGTTCATATGCAACTAATTTAATACGTTTTCCCGGTTTTTGTTTTATATAAGCATGGAATAAAACTTGATATTTAACTGAATGCAGAAACATGTTCTTTGCATAATAAGATCCGTTTATTTTCCATACGAATAATGCAACTAGATGATAGGATAGAAGAGCAAATTAACCAAAAACAACTATACGATTGTGTCTTTCATTCATTCATACTCACCGATATATTTGTATTTTGAATAAGTGCAACACTTTGAAAAGGTTCAAACATTTTGAATATTGCATCAGAGATATTTGTGTTTTGAAAACTCCGTACAAATGCTGTGTGAATCTGATCGGAGAGGCACTCTTTGGAGGAGTAGCACATTCTAAAGAAGGAAATGTCAACTAAAGTAAGCTACGTTTACTATGAGGCTGTTCAGAGATATTTTTACTTTTCATATCGGTACCAAAAGAATCAAATTAAAGGAAAGTGGAATAACACATATAATAAATTATAGCATTGTTATTTAGTATCCAACCTCTATTCTATATTCAGATGTACATTATGTTGAAATCGTGAAGTGGATAAAGCTACTTTGACAGAAAGTGTTATACATTTCGACTGAAATGATTAAGTTTGGAAGTCGGCAGGGATTTTTTTTTCAGGTTTCACTGAAATTCATAATACCATAGTGTCAATTTACTAGGATTCAATCGAAACGCAAAAGTTGAAATTATCAAAACTTGAATTCAAAACCCAAAAAATCAGCCGAAACAAAATCTGGTTAAACGGAATGGTACGTGTTTAATACGTCACAAATAACATACACCATGGTATTTCCTGTTCTATATGGCGGCCCGCTGTGGTTTATTCTGGGTAGTTCATGACAATATGTCAAACTCCACAAAATCAAGAGGCAATCCATTCACTAATTTATCTATTTATAAAAAAGAAATAGCTTTTCAATCAATTAACAATTTGTAATAGGAAAGATAAGGCCTACTGCACTCAAAACACATCAACATATGTGAACTTTATGTAAAACGAATATGTAAGCCAATGAAAGAGAAGACACACGAAACAAACAATAAAAAAACACGAAAAAAAAAGTATATTGATTATCTTGATGAAATGTTTCTAAATTAGATTCACGTTTGTTTAGCAGACCAATTAATCCTATCTAACGGACGGGTTCTGATTAACGTCGTTCGAGCATGAAGATCTAATTATATTAGACTAAAAGTCATTTGTGATGCTTGGATTGCAAATATTGTCTCTCATACGTGCTTTATAGACAGGGCTTAGTAATTTATTAAAATTTTTCGTCATTATCAGTTAATTGGTGTTTGTGTTTCGGATTTCCATCGGAAGTATAACTTTTGTTGATCGATGCTGAGTTTTAAGTGATAACGTTGGCTATTTCAGTTTGTTACTGTTGGTGTTCAGTCACTGTACTAATTAATTATAAATTTAAGCTTTTTTTTCGAATAATAATATATCATCCTGCCAATTATCTTTGAGCTATGAAACAGATGTTAGACAGATTAAACACATTTATTGTAGTTGTTTGAGAATAAAGTAAGTCTATATTTGCGATTGCAAGATAGAATAAACACAACAGACAAATAAAGTCGGCATACTGCGCGATTCCCCCATTATTTCTCAAATCAATCTACATTTGTCGATTTCCCATGGTGGAGCTGTCAAGTTTCCAGGAACATCGTTCAAGTCTTTGTGTCTGCCCTACTCTCTAAATAAACCACTAAACACTTTGTTAATGCTTGCTCCTTGTTCTACGCCTGCAAATGACACAATCGTTGTGATAATGGCACAAAACACACACTTCTCCCCGATCTTGTCAAATACTAAATGTCTTTTGCGAAAATAGGATATCGTTGAAGTATCAGTGATTGATTTTTTAATGTTCTTGTGGTAACGGATTTCTAATTAAGACTCATCGATTCTTTCCAAAATCCTTCAGCGATGTATAAAACAAGGGAGTAACAATTATGGTTGGTTCAAAAAGCAGCTTGGGCCTTAAGGGGAGGGGATGCTTTGTTGCGTTTACTGTGATGAAAATTGTTTTGATTAACCCTGTGTTGGCACCTAATTATAATGTAGCGATCCAGTTGACACAAAGCATAGCAGCGTGGTGTCCGAGGGACTTCCAACTATGAATATGTGTGCCTTTGTTGGTAGGCAGACTAGATGTGTTTCGTCGGATGAGTATACAAACTTAGGAGAACGAGTGCTTTCTGATGAATTACCTCCTGAGTGTAGAAATACATAGATCAGACTCAAAAACAAAGAGACTTAGAGTCTGGACCTGATTGCTTAGTGATAAACGGTCCTTTATTTTTCTTTTAAATTGAATATATTGACTAGAACTGGGTACACGAGGAGTGATCATAAAAGTGGAAAGCTATTGTAACCATTTTGTGATGATGAAAACAGTGATGTGCAGCAATGTGCCTATGCTACAGTTGTGCGATGTGATTTAAAAACTTTGTTTTCATAAAGTAAACATTCTTCATCAACAATTAACTAGCCCAAGGATGTATTTTATAAACAGTGTGTTTCCACATCATTGTATAAACGCTGGTGTATGAACCAATACGTTTTCTGAAAACTTCAGCAGATTCCCTAATACTCTGCAAGTAGTGCATTATACAACATACTGACGTCAAAGCTTACTGAATTGACGTTCCTAAGTCAATTCAGGATCGAAAGTTACCGTTATAGTTGATTCCACTTGAAAGTTACCTATTTTCGAAAGCGGAAATCTTATTGAAAAATACTAAAGTCGTAACAGGAGATGTTGTAACCAGGCAAGTAGTCATGAAAACCTACAGCAATTCCAATGAATTGTAGATGCATTTGAGATAAAATTCATGGAGCTTTTATTGTGTTTTCCCTTGGTGGCCTCTTGCCATAAGGAAGAGCAGTTCTGATTATACAGAAAGCCGGGCTTGATTGGTTAACAGTGACAAACACTATGTGAATTGCTCTGTTCATTACATTCCAGTGTATGGCTTAAACCATTGTTTTTCCTCTAACTTCCAGACCAGTAATTGCAAGTTCCCTCTATCGAATCAAAACCTTCGCATATAACTGTGGGTTCTATCCACCGCTAGCGTCGGATGAATGTTAACAGAACAGTGTGGGAGTAGCGTTACATTAGGCGGCACACATGCCTTCAGGACCGATCTACCGGTGTATAATGTGATCGAAAACATCATTCAAAGATCTTGGGAACTTTTAAATTTTCCGTAATTGTGCATATTTCTTGAGGGATATCACGGGTTACGACCGGACAAATTAAGTTACACAAGATATTGCCGGAACATACTGTCTACTGAATGCGTACATATATATTGCGCTGTAATCATGCTGGGTCTGAGAATGTAGTCTGCAGTCTAACATAGTGAATTATGGGATCACGGTAGGCTACACAAGGTTACAAGGATGATCAGCTTCACCTTGAAGGATGGTATAAAAAAAATCCCACGTGATGCATATTTTTTCTTGATTTGTTTTCTTTATGTTTGAAAGTAACTGACAGTTAGGATGGGTCAGCTAACAACTTTCCAGTGTCTTTGTGCATTGTTGGCGTTTTATGATTTGACATGTATAAATTGTCATGACATGATATCTGAAACATGTTCTTATACATTCCAAGTCTGGAGACCAGATGAGAATATTGAACACAAGGTGAGATATTTAGAACTAGAATTTGCCAATATGTCTTCGTTTCTGGACAAAACTTTATTGCAATTCCGAAATGAAATTTACTCGGAGTTGAGTTTGTGCCACAAGAATAGAACCTCTAGAGGTGGTAGGCGTGCAGGGTCAAAGGTCAAAGAACGGGCTTTAAATTCGGGATTTTCAGGATTTCAAAGGGAGCTAAATGAGATGGTGAGGCGTCTTGACCATCTCACCACGGATTATGTCAGTTTGAAGAATAGACTTACGACTTCACCAGCCCCTCAAAGAGCTGGAAAATTGGGATTTTCAAGCAACGGACAGATAGAACAAGTTCCAACATCTGTTTTAGAAAACGGTGTAAATGATTTAAAAGCAGAATGGATTCTAATGAAACGGGACCTTTTACATCTTAATTCTGAAAATTCCCACATCAAGCATGCCCAAAATCGAATTCAAAGAGAGGCGAATTCTCTGAACAAATCTATAAGTTCCTTAGGAACAAAAATTAAAATTCTAGAAGTGGAGTTGAATAATGGAGTACCGACCCCTAGGGACCGTGATGATCAAGCAGATTCGGGAATACGTGATCCGACTAGCCTACATAGGCGGATGGAGATGGACATATTAAACATTAATGAAGGCCTTCAGGATCTACGTACTTCCATGAAGAAAGTTAAGGACAACATGAATCTTCTTAGGAATGATAATGTGAATCTTAAAAGAATGATTGTAGACGCTTCGAAGGGAAAGACATTTAATGGCGGTAAAACAAATGTTGCTGAACTGATGGATCGCACTCTAGGAGCAACCCCTACAGGTAAGCATTGATGATGGATATTTTGAATTGAAGCTGAAACATCCCCCGTTACATAGTCAACAAGTACAAACTGGCAAATAGTTCATGGGAGTTTATGTAATTAATAGAACAGCAGACAATATTTTGACAAACTAAACTCTAGTGTGATTCAGTTATGATTTATGATACACGCATTTTTTAGAAACCGCTTGGAGATGTAGACATTGCCAATATATCTACAGTTGAAAGCATTGGAAAGAATGATATGTTATTGGCTTTGTGTGAACTCTGGATAAATCAGAAGAATGGAGATTGCATAAGGGAACTACTGTCAAGGAGTAGTATAACGAAGGGGTTAGCCTATGGGAATTTATGTAATTACTAAGAGAAAGATTGATGACATTACAAAAGAAAGATGTCTGTGTCACCAGTTCACTGTCAGTATAGTGTTACAAAATGTCAACCATGTTGATGAAGGCAAATGTTCAGTCGTTTCACCTTGGCCATTTTTATTAAAAGCAAACTATTGACTGTGCTACGTACTCCGATTCTACGGTAAATTAAATTAAGGATTCCTACAATAGCCTAATTGCTTTGTCAAAATATCATTAGGCCTATTTCATTTAAAGTCTAGAGACACGTTGGATTAATTGAAATTTACAACTATCTGTATTTCGGAAAGGACACATTTAGTAACAGATTTAAACTCGGAGACATGATAAAAGATACTGTCTCTTATGAGGTTTCGCTGGTATCTGAAATCAAATAGTCTCTCTCATCAGCTCCACCCTTTAAGAAAATGACCGTTCCTTCGATGAGCTCCTTCATTAGATACAAATCCTCTTTCTCCACACTTCCTTCTGCTACATGAAAAACCGACAACAAGGAAATATCGAAGTGTCAAAAAAAAAGAATTCTTAAATGTGAACAAAGGTAATACTTAAATAGAAGCCCATAGAAAAACGAGGGAAAAAACAGGTGCTCTGGAAGCGTAGGCGTGTTAAATTTGTCAATCTAAACCAAATCTAATGTCATAATCAAATCGTTTCTCTCTAAGCTCATCCCTTTGCAAATAAATCGTCACTCTTTTGAATTTTTAAAAATACGTTATCTTGTAACTCCTTTTGTTATAAGAAAAACCGTGTTAACATGTATCTTTAGCTCTTATTGCCTTTGTCAAACAAATCCTCCGTCTCATCAGCTCCTCCTGTTTTAACAAATAATCATTGCTCTCATCTGTTCATGTCGCTATTGAAAATCGTTCATGTCGTCAGCTCCTGTCGCTATTACAATTGTCTCAATCAAGAGCCCCACACACTATTAAAAATAAGCATTCCTCTCGTCAGCACGTTTCGCTATTAAAAAATGTCCCTCTCCGCAGCTCATGGTTGTACACATATAAAACAGATCCTCTCGCTCGTCAGCTCCTGCCGCTGTTAACAAATATAACCGTTCATCTCGTCAGCTCATGTTGCTGTTACATATATCATCCTTCTCGTCATCTCATGTCATTTTAAAAACAAATCGTCCCTCTAGACAGCATCTGTCACTTAAAAATATCGTCCCTTTTGTCAGCTCCTGCCATTTATAAGAAATCGTAACTCTCATCTGCTTTTGTCGCTTTAAAAATAATCGTTCCTCTCGTCACCGGCTGTCATTTTAAAAAGTCGTTTGTCTCGTCGTCTCCTGTCACCTTAAAAATCGACCCTCTCGTCAGTTCCTGTCTTCTTTTAGCAAAATCGTCATTCTCGTCTGAAAGAATGCACCTGCTGTTATCCACCACACGTATCGTAAGAGACGACTAATGGGGGAATCCCATGAAAAATTAGAGATTTGTGTTTGTGCCCTCTACTTCGGCAAATACAATTAACCAAAATAAATCTGCTGCAACCGTTGCAATAGTTGGGATCTGTATATTTATCAGTACTTCTAAATTTCTATTTATTTCCTAGCGCCTTTCTAATCAATACCTATCATTTGGCTTTAATGTTGAGGGTTTCCCAGGTTAGGAATGGATTCTATCCACATTCCAAACTTCTTAAAATGGCACTTGTTATTCCCCGATTAACGTTCAGCATTTAGGGTAATGACAACTGGTTCACCCGTTGTCAGTATAAGATGCATTTGACATGGTGTTTCAGTGAGATGGCCCTATAAAGTTGGCGCAATAAGAAAGTGACACATATACACACATGCACGCATTCATAATACACATGGCGGCACGTCCTTAAGTGATCATAGCTGTTGATAGAACGGTAAACCCTATAAAACATATCATTCTTCAGCTCCTGTCGCCATAAAACAAATTGTTCCTTTCGTCAGCTCCCCCCACTATAACTTACACGGAGCGTTATGTTATAAGTTTAACGTATTTGCCATACGAACAATAATCTTCCTGTTTGATATAATTGTATATATTTTCTGGAAATTAGAAATAAAAATAAAACGATGTTGCAAAATTACCACAGAATAAAGGAACATACTTTTGACTCATTTTTTAATTCATAGACAAATGGCAGTTGAGCAAATTATTAGATTGATTTAGTTTGTGTTATATACATCTTAAACAAACATTTACTTTGTATATGTTTGAAAAGTGTGGCTAAAATGTTGACTCAATTCATATAAATAACATCCATCAGTGAAAAGACCACAACTACATTTATCATGAATATGTGTGGTTTTCAAGAGATTTTCAATAAGTCTCTTTGAAAAAGGATTGTGTTCAAATGATATGCAGAAGACACAAGAAGGGCACAACGTGAATTTTTGAAGCGATCAAACTAAACTTTGTTAATTTTGTTAATTAAAAGTAGAATCCTAACAAAACCGTTCCAGATAATGTTTACACTGTAAAACAGAACTTCAGGAATACAGTTCATCACTAGCTTTTAAACGGAAAAAACTATATCAATTGTATTTTTGAAGTGCCTACGTTGACAAACATATAACTGCATAAGAAATAGAGGTTTTATAGCATTACATTTGTCGCCTAATTTCTAATGATGTCACGCCTGATAACAAGACTATGCGCCATTTTGAATACTAGTATACTTCTTACCGTAGTCCTACATATAACTATTTTTAATATTATCTTGTAAACAAAATATTGTCTTTGTAAAGTCAACTTACTATTTTTGCGTATAATGTTATGTCAATAGTTAATAAAAAAACGTATATATACCGTCGTTTTATCTGCTTTGTAATATATAATTGTGGCTTTGAATGCAGTAAATAGAAAGTACACTTATGATTGGTCAATACAAAAAGTGGAATTTTAGCACTGTGAAAGATACCGCTTTTGATATCTTCCTAAAGTAAAGATACCAGTTTTATCAAGTTGATAAAATTAAATATCTTACTTGTAAAAATCCAGTAAATTATTTTCTGTGTTCTATCTTTCGGAAGCTTTAGAAATTGTTGGAGTCATGAGCATTTCATTTTGATGTCGAATTTATTGTTGAGATATAGCATGACTTATCCTATTCAATTAATGTTGTGTTACTACGATTTTTCTACAATTCAGATATATCTATAGTCAGTGTGTTGTTCAGCACTTAAACGTCTCCCCGTGCTCCTATAACGTGTCTCTCCGTCGAACTTAACTACTTTCGTAAGAGAAAACACTGCCATCGATCATTCTCAGAGGAAGGCCACGTACAAGGTGAGGGGAAAATAATTGTCTGACGCCTTCAAGTCGGAAACAGCAAAATAGAGGTGTGATCAAATTGATTGAAAAAAAAACTAATTGACTAAATGATGGAAGCAAAAGAACTAATTGTATCGGCGTTGGTTATTGGGAGATTTCTTTAACAAACTGTTGAGTGAATTATAGAAATATGGTGTGATCCTTTAGGTCGTTGTAAATGCAATAAACCAATACAAGTGATTAAATTGCACAGTGTAAACTGTAAATTACAATAGATGGACATTGTTATACGTGTAATGAGAGGGTTATTAGGTCATCATTATATAGCAAACATTTTGTAATTATATTGCAAGGTTAATTGGCATTTTGTAATTATGCTGCTATGTAGGTTAAGGTGGCTCCACACTTTCGCAATTAACCAGCAAAATTCGTTGAAACTTTCATATAATGGTTATGCAACTATGTAGAGTTAATTTTATGAAAATCTAAACATTCCGATAGTTTGGGGAATTTTTTGGAAAAAATACCAAAAAATTGAATTTTCGCCACTTTTAATATTTTCCGTTTTTTTNCATTTTATGTTAATATTGTTTATTTTAGTCATTTTGTCAATTTTTTAGTTAAGCGATTTCATACATATTAAGTGCAGAGATATTTCCAATACGTAAATACATGATGATGTAGATTCTTATTAATTTAAAGCTAGGATTGTACATATGTACGATGCTAATAACCAACCTGCCCCCGTTTCCTTCCTGTTTTTCACACACAGAGATAACGCATAATTAGTCAGAATTCTGATCATTTGCTATGTTTCGCCATACCTCCACCAATTTAGCGGATATATACTCCAAAATTACGTATCCATGCAAATTCATGGGAAAGTATTACAATGTAGTATGCTTTATTGTATAAAACATATTTATATTATTTCCCCTTTCAGGGTCGGGCATTAAAGGGAGCTTAAACTTGGCCGACTGCACATCTTGCAGTACTATTTTTACTACTAACTTTCCACTTCCGTGCTCTCTTGAGACATTATAAATGTACCTGTAAGATGGTCAATTGAAAACAATCCATCGCCAGAAATGTAACATCATCATAAACATACATTTTCCTTTAACCTTGGCGAGCTTTTTTGGATATGTAATTTGCATTGTCCCATTCTAAGGTGATAACCCGTATACGTCTTCTGTGTGTCAAAATAAAAGAATAATTAAATGACGTCCTTTTGTAGTCAGACAAGGTCATACATTATTGCTGAATGCTTGATTTACCTAGCAATATTTTTACAGGAGCAAATCTTGTTTTAGAGGTGAGATCTAAATTTGCATCTTTAGGGTAAAAGAAAGGACTTATTAACTTAACTATCCGAGTATGGATGTCAACTCTCCATCTTGCCATCAAGGGGTGAAAGATTATATAAGATAAGTGATTGTTATTACACAACAGTCTAGCTGCAGGCTGAGATAAATGTAGGGATGGCAAGTACACAACATTTGTTGACAGATGAGTATTGTTCAGTAAAAATCATAAAGTGATGGTCTCAGTAAGCGGGGGAAAATTCAAGGACAAGATATGAGTAATACATTTTGGTTAGAAATTTTATTTAAACTTGATATACAAGGAATATCAGACTACTATTCCAGATGTAAAAGTGTCTTCTCCGTGATCGACGATATTTCCCTTGTAAATCTATGTCAAATCAAAGTAATGGAATGCCCTCAAACCGAGGACTGGGAAAACAATGTTCAGCATGTTCAAAACATTATGGATCATCATCAAACACATCGATCTGTATATCACACAATGAATTAGCTTCTTTTCCAATGATGGAGACTAAAACTTTATGTTTTAAAGACTGAATTGTTCAGTGTAATTGTTGTTACAATTATAGGATAAACGTATGGTGTTGTTCCATGTTAGAGGACACTTACATCATCTTCTTCAGTTACTGTTCCTCTGTTAAATAGATTTGTAGCTTTTCGTACAACGAGGTGGTATTGATTTGTAGGATCAACGTCATCAAAATGGTTTGGTAAAAACTAATAACTGATCTGTTTCAAAATATATGCATTATTGATATAAGGAGCCTTAATTATAGTCTTGGTTTCATGGACTAATACGACGATACCGATTCAACTTAAAAAGAAATACTGGATTCTTGATTGACGTTTATGGCTACCGGTTTATTGTGAGAATAATTATTGTAAATCAATATTCAAACAACGAAAACATCAAAAGATCGCATGCATAGTCTTATCCTAAACATTACGAAACAGACGCGAGTTGCTAGTTGTGAATGAGGAAACGATGAAAAAATAAGCTTGCCAACATACGCCATGCGCGTTAGGTATTCATTCGAAAACAGCAGAGATACAGAGAGCAAACAATTATGTAACGTTACATGTCAAGGTCACAGAGTTAGTTCCACGGGAAGAAACATCTTCTTCCACCTCTACAACATAATGAAGATGTTAAATGTGGTGGAAACTCCATGCGAGAGATTTGTTTCCCACATAAATGCACCTGATGACCTCCAAATTGGGGGGGTGGGGTATTTTTTTTTTTTTTTTTTTTTTTTTTTTTTTTTTTTTTTGGCAATATTTACACCATACTCTACAATGTTAGCCAATTTTTCGTGCTGAAAAAATGTAAAAGTGTTCACTACTTTGTTTAAAGTTATCCCGCGTACAGCGTTCAATGTGATATATCATCTTTTTCTATAAAGTTTGAATCAAACATTGCACTAATAGGTGTATTATTTGTACGATTTTAGTAATGGTTGAAATATAAAATGGAAAAAAACAACTTTCTGTAGCCTCATGACTCAAATGACTCAAATGCATAAGTACACTTTGGCATGAACCGAACACTTTTCAAATACTACAATGAACTCACATTAAAATACAAATACTTAATTTATTTAGCACAGGTATACAATCAACAGGCATTGAATAACAATATATATAATGATATCAAAATATGAAATCAAAATATTCCGTGTAGAATTTGTGCGTATATCGTCATGTGATATGACAAAGAGATACACGATGGCCGTGACGTCATTGATTTTAAAATAACATCACAAAATTACGTCACAACACAGATCACATGAGCAACGCCGAGAGTTTATCACAGAAGGATACGCAAGGCATGTTCCCAACTGTTTTGAACTGGTGTCTCAAAAACAAGTTTGCATTACTCATGCATACAATTTTCTGTGAAATATGTAAAATATTGAAACTATTGTTTATTTTTCTCCTGATTCGTGCAAAGAATATTGCACAAAATTTGGGAATAGATACATTATACCAAAAATGAATTACCATGCATCGTACAGCTGTTTCGTACTGGGGCAAAAATGTTGAAATTCTAAATTGTCTATACAGCTGTTGAACCACAGGAACATTGCCTTTAGGAGATCGTGTGTACACTTATAAACTAATTAACGACAATTAAACACATGCAAATAAAAACTATTATATTATTTCATTTTTTCATGAATATGCGGTAAATGAAGGACTAATATTCATAAGAGTGCAAAGAACGAGTGAACAAAATGTCAAACATGCAATATTGGTAACAAAGTAAGTCAGCTACATTGAAACAATTTCCGCAAGGCGAACCTTATTGGTGAGGTAGTTTGTGCGTTTTCGTGAGTGAAAATATCATCTATTGGAGGTTGGTATGTGTCCATAGTTCATACAACGAAAATAACTGCAATAAAACAATACATTTAATCAGTTACTCTAGATCCAAGTACCGATCGCAACTTCATTCACAGGTATCACCCGAATATTAAGTAACACATAGGCCATTGAGTGATGCAAATACAAACAAAAGTACATTACATGAAAATTCATGGTGAAAAGATTCATATAGCACAACAAAAAAGTATTTATATGTGAACTTTCGATGACTAGTACGGTATGTACTCTGTCACCTTCATCAGCCTAAGGTGTAAAATCGATGTCGATTCAGCTACGCTGTAAGCGTATATACAATTAGTTGTTATATATGTACCGAAATGACCCGATTCAGCTACGCTTGGTCACAGATAAGCGAGAGTCTATGAGCCCCCTCATCTCGATTAAGAACTGTCCAATTATAACAACTAGTTGTAGATACACTTACAGCGTAGCCGAATCGACATCGATGTGTGGACAACTCCTACACATTTTACACCTTTGTGTACATAAGCTTCACTGGTCATTTGTCTGATGAAGGTGACAGAGTACATACCGTACTAGTCATCGAAACGTCACATATAAACACATTTTTGGTTGTGCTACATGAATCTTTTCACAATCCATACTTACCAACCTGAAGAAAATGTTTAGAAATAAGGTGAAAATTCAGTTGTATATAGGTTACTAATTGTCTAGGTGCAATCACGTCTGTGTCCTATGTTCATCTTTCATTAGGTTAACGATACACTGTTTTAAAAATGATCATTGATAAGGATTAAAACCAAAATCAAACTATTCATTTCTGGGAATCAAAATGATCGTCTTTAGAGTATATGAACAGAAATATTCTGCATAAATTTTATTTAAAAAAAACACCAAACAAATAAATTTGAACAGGTGGTTTCATTTCTCAATAGCTCATAAAATTGATAAGTTTATTGCATTTTCGAAATTAAGTAACCTGCTGTTCATTGAAAAAGAGACATTTACGCGAATAAAAAATCCTTAACTTTAGTTTTTCATAGGAAGTTAAGGATTTAAAGCTGAGGAAACTTCTCTTAACTTTATTAAATTGTCAACCGTTAACGACCCCTTTTTTCAACGGACCAAATAAATACATATAATCCCAGCATTCAAACAATTAATAAATGAACAAAGGTCATTTTTCCGAGATCAAACTATCTACAAACCAGTACTTATTTTCGACGGATTTCACTGATAAGTACATTTATCTGTATATCATTATTCCTTTGTAGAAAAAAAATAGATTTCGACTTTATTTTGGAAAAAAATGGATTCCCAATGACTTTTGGAAATATTTTACCATAGTTAGAGTTAGAGAAGGTTCGCAGGATTAAAGAATATTTTAACTTTTTATTAATGCCATCCGCTTAATCAATAAGGATGGAAATACTTTGATTCTGTTATCAAGTTAATTGTATCAAACAAGCATTCATCTACAATTTCACTTGGGTAGTCAGCTATCAACAGTTATTCAGGTGTACGTGTACTAACATACCCGCCCAGGATAGAGTAAATCAGGCTAAACATAGTTTTGTCTGGTATCCATTTATAGAAACTGCATTGCCCTGGTACAGCTTTAAAGCCATTGAAATAGACTTTTTACGTGTAACATAACCATTACAATTGCTTCCTTTATACCTCGTAAGCTGTATTTCGTCTTTTCGTATTGCAGAGTTATCTGCTCTTGTGAGCAGGTATTGATGATTATGTCATTTGTTTGTGAGCGTAACATCATCAATTTTTGAGAAAACGACGTAATTTTCTCACACACAAACCAATGACGTAACAATCAATACCTGCTCACAAGAGAAGATAACCCTGTAATACGCAAAGAAGGAATACTGACTTTAACAGCAAAATTATAATGCTTACAAATAAAAAAAAAAACAGTGGGCCCACATTAAATTTAATACAAAACATATCAAAATATTAAATATGGGATTATGTTTGGAGATAATTTTGAAAATAGAATGAAGGAATATAAAAGAATATATATTTTCTTCATTTTTGTCTTGAATAAATGAAATATAATGAATATACAATGCAAAGAAAACATAGTTGTGAACCAAAAAAGTTCACTGACAACAAAAAGGTTTCTTAGTAAAAAATAAATAACAATGAGAGTATTTTCAGTAGGTTGATTAGGTCTCCAAATATTCTTTAAATTCTAACGGATGAGATGGTAGTGCTCTCTGTCTGTAAAGCGTGTTGAATCTGTCAGTCTGCTCGGGCGTAAACAGACTTTTCCAGTCTCCAACTATCCCTGAAATGATTAATAGTTGTGTTACAATCCAGACAATTTGACTATTTGATATCAATGTATACAACGTATCAAATTATTTTTATTTTCATGAACATATGACGATTATACAATTCGTCTTTGAAATATAACCGAATTAAAATTAAAAATTTGAAAATATTGTAACACAGTTTTTGTCAAGTTCATGGCATGTTTCAAATTAATATAGAAGTTTTGAATATATTATATCTAAAAACCAAAACTATATTTCATAATCTGTAATTTATTATTTCTGCAACTCAATCATTTGAATTTCACATGGTTATAAATATACCACATTAATAGTTCATTCTGTGAAATGTAATCGAACTACATTAGTTTGTAATAAAAAAAAAAAGACATTAAAAAAATATGAATTCATGTCATCTAAATTACTATTTTCTACATGTCATATAAATCATATTAAAATAGCGAAGACAATGTTCGGACTGAGCTAATATGGCGTCACCTTGAACCTTCAAAATTGTTCATTCTGTCATTTTAAAGCATAACACAATATTATTTTGAATGTGGTTATAGTTTTTAGACAAGAACACTGACATATCTGCAAAGGGTCTGCTATGTTCTTGACAGAACAAGATGGACGAAACTGGTCTATGGCGTGTAATTTGTTTTCGGCATACTTGATCTTTTACCAAATTCTAAAGGTGCCATCACATATGTGGCCTATACTCGTCATTCAAAAAAAGTCTTTCGGACTCTGAGATGATGTCCAAATGGGAAGGACGGACAGACAAAAGGAAAGACACCATGATAACTATAGGGCACAGTATCGTGCAATGCACTTTCTTCCTTTTCTAGTACCATGAACATATTTCAAAACACTTTAGGTATGGGATTTCTTTCACTTGACGTTAGCCCGACTGATGAGTCATAGAAAGATAAAATAGATGAAAAAGGTTAAGTGTAAAGAAACTATTGTGTTTTGCTGTTGCACTGATTTTCTAAACTCTGAATTTGGGCTTCTTATCTCAATAAAATGCCCATCGTTTCATTTGCCACCTGGTTTACCGCCAACTTATTTCAATATCCCTTTATCTTTTTTCTTTAGAATTTCCTTACACTTTCCCTGGATTTATCGCCAATCCCTTCATAGCGTCAACATTTATCTGGACAAATGGTGGCAGTAAACAAGGTTTTACTTTACTTCAAACATTAGGTTGATGATTACCTTTTCGAATAACACTGTTTTCACTAATGTTCTCTTTGACATCTTTTAATACAATGCGATCGGATTGTTGAATGCCTTCCTCAATTCTCTCCATCATATTGGCCTTTTTCTTGGACTTTGCATCTCTCATGTTCTTGAATTCACACGCATGCGCAATGTCTTCAATCAGGGTGTCGGTATNAAGATGTTATAATGTATAATATGTATACAAACATGACATGTTATACTGTATAATATGTTAACAAACATGGCATGTTATAATGTATAATATGTATACATACATGACATGTAACACTGGATAATATGTATACATACATGACATGTAATACTGTATAATATGTATACCTACATGACATGTAATACTGTATAATATGTATACATACATGACATGTTATAATGTATAATATGTATACATACATGACATGTAATACTGTATAATATGTATACCTACATGACATGTAATACTGTATAATATGTATACATACACATGTACATCACATGTTATAATGTATGATATGTATACATACATGATATGTTATACTGTATAATATGTTTTCATACATGGCATGTTATAATTTATAAGATGTATACATACATGACATGTTATAATGTATAACATGTATACATACATGACATGTTATAATGGATAATATGTATACATACATGACATGTTACAATGTATAATATGTAGACATACATGACATATTATCATGACATGTTAAAATGTATAATATGTAGACATACATGGCATGTTACAAAGTATAACATGTATAACTTGTACAAGGTTATAACATGTTTTTATATAATAATGTATAATTGTATTGCTGTATAGCATAATGCATTGTTTTACTGATAACGTGTATAACGCTATAAAATGTATCAACATGTTATGATGTGTAACATGTATTACTTTATATCATATTTACCTTTTTTACACAAGACATTCGTATCTCCTTGTTGAAGTATCGAAATATTTACAATTGTAGAGTGCCCACTGCAAGCAGGGAAAACTATGCGCGAAAGTTAAATACACAAAAAACCATGGTCTATCGTATATAAGCATAAGGCGACACTAGCTTCTTTGTTACCGAGCCTTTCATTAGCAATGTGTACCGTATGGAAACGATCAATAGAATTTATTATAGGTATAAACATTTCTTGATTTTGGTTAAAATCCCTACTTGACCTACAGTAATAAAATTGTTGTCTCCCTTTATCAAGCTATTCATCGACAAGTTCCGATCCCAGTTTATCGCTCTGATTGTTAGAACATGTAACTTGAGGCATTAACATTGTACTATTAATGTTCAGGTTACACCTGTAGCAACAATGGTTTCTTACAGTCATGTTATTATTGAGATCAGTCCAATAGCTAAATGATTACTACCTGAGATCAACGGAATCTACTTTTAGAATTTTTAAGACGATTCCGACAGAACTTATTTACACATTTGTATAAATCTTTAAATATAAACGAATCAACATGTCGCGAACAAAAGACGGACGGACGAAGGACCAGGAACGCAAGACTAATTGAACAAGCGTTTATCTGATGATATATGAGCAGCTGTGTTGGTACTAACAGGTTTATACAAAATGACTATTTTAGAACTCCATGAAGGCTCCTATATAACGTCTAGATGAGGAGGCTTCTATTATTAATTAAATGCTTAAATGATGATCCGCCCGTTAACAGAACTTGGTGTTTTTGTTTAGAAGGTCAATATCATATTGCACTTTGAAATTACACAATGAAAAGGTTCTGATAAAAATGATCGATTTTGGAGCGGGGTGGAAAATAAATATTCAGAACATGCATTTCTCGGCCTTTAAGCCAAGATCAGAGTGCGGCATTTGTTCTTAGTGGCACGTCACGCGGTACAACAATGCCTTGCAGGATAGAACCGAATACTATTTCTGACAAAAGCCATGGGAAGTTGATGGACTGAGATCACATACAAATTAGTAATATAATAACATAAGACAAATGTACTAAGAAGTCCTTTCCTGTCGATATTGGAGATTGCAATATTATATTTCACGGTTAAAACAAAGTTTGTGGGTGTTATAATACTGCACAATCATAGTTATTTTGTTTTTACCGCGCATGTTTTATGTATCAGCACTATATTATTCAAAATTAAAATTAATGAAATATGAATCCCCAGTGTACCAGTGATATTTAGAACATGTTCACTGAATTTGAATCTTAAGGAAGTGTGTATTATTGATATTCCTTGAAAGGCAATTCTATAATTCAATGATGTTTTGTTCTTGCTGGAAAATGGTACACCGCACAGTATTAATCAATAATGTTTTGTACGCGTTACAGATTGATTGCCTGAGGCATATTGATTTACTAAAGTAAGGAGCTTGGTGTAAACATAATGATCCTGTTTGTTTGAAATGTGACTATAAATATATGATTTGTTCGAGCAGAATGTTGTTGGCACGAGTTGTCTGATATGAATTAGAGAAGATTTTGTTCTTACAGAATCTGAAAAATGTTAAGCTGTTCATGTTCATACACTGCGGTAGAATGATTTAAAACACTAGAATGAATTCAACCATACTCTCCACGGTCAATGGTCTATATCAACATCGCCATTCTAAATTTGTAGAAAACATTTAAAGCCAAAGTATAAGATTTGCTTTGAAATATAGTTTAAATAAATCAATTATTTGTATATTTTAACATTTTTCTCTACTTCTGTTTTATTCGTTATACTTTTTAATTGAAATAAATCTGTAGTTAGCATAAGTGTTTTATTGTTTATAATCCATATCTTTGGGTTGGGTTTTTATTTTTTATTTTTTTTTGCCATGGAATTTTGATTATTAATTTTAATCTGGATGGAAGTTGTTTTCTGAACATCCGGCATTTAAATAAAATATTAAGTAACATCAATTGGTATTTCTGTGTTCAAAGGGTGTCTTTAAATTATATTTTCTCCTTATCGTCTTATGAATAGTGAAAATTCGTCAAGAAAAATTTGTTGCAGAACTTTATCTGAACTGTAAAAGATATGACCATCTAGCAGTGTGAATCGTTGCCGCGAATTGAGTTATATACGTTTTCTTACACAACGTACCTCTTACATTAATATATACAAAAAGGAGTAATAAATACACTATTGAGCATCTCGTTCAAACACAAGTGAATGTCAGTCTTTTATCACAATACACAAGCGTGTCTCAATGACACAGTTTGGGTATCATCTACAAGTCTAAATGTGGTCCGTAAAATGTCACACAGTCAAATAAGGCCATTCTGGGGACATGCTCACTAGAAGTTAATGTTGGTCTAGCTGTTGGACAGTAACTATGACAACACTGGTATAAATCAACAGAAAACTGAAACAATGTAAAAAAAATATCACCAACAAAACAGTTTTGATTAATGAGGTTTATTTAGATTCTCTTTTTAAATTCCAGTTTAACACTTTAACATTGTGACCAACATTAATACAGACTTACACTAAACAACAGCAAACAACGAACTGTTTCGGCCGTAAATAACAAAATATTTATTTAAAAACGATTCTAGTATATGTTCAACGACATTAATCGAACACAAGGGCTATAATATTTCAGCATAGGATAAGTTTATTTTATACCGTCAAACATAGATAGAAATATATTTTGCGCAAATTTTCAGATTTTTCAGCATCTGATGTAAACCTGTAGCACTGTATTGTGACTAAATGAATTTCAAATTTCACTAAAATTAATCATTTTCACTCCAAACAGATTAATCTTGTAAAATTTTAAGAAAATATTCCATATTCTGTATTTTTGAATTACTGATGGGAATTCGATTAAATTTAAAACCAAGTTTAACTGTGCAAGGAGAAAGTGACCTATAGGTAGACAGGCCAAAACACGCTACTCGACTGGAATAAAATAAAACTGGCGGACTATGAAAACCGAGCAGGCCAAATGTTATTATTATTTTGCCAGTATCTTCCTTTCTCATCACATTTCAAATCTTGAGTAAGATTCAGCGATACAAGTCTGTCATTACTATTAAATAATCATGGTATTTTTAAATTTCATTCATTCATTTATTCATAAAAAATCATGCTTAATAAATAAGTTAAACATTAAAACAAAATGTTGGTAAAGGGTTAATTATCTGACAATAGTAGAATTATTTGTGATAATTACTAACCATATTTACAATGTGATGAAGTAAAAGTCAAGAGGGTGATAAAATAATGTCCTCAAGAGAAGAAGAGTTATTCCCCTTGGTATCGTTGGCGCGACGGATGCTGCTTATTAATGCCATTAACAGGTTATATTCAAATAAGGCAATGAAACAAACTGGTACATCTTTCATCTATTTAACAGAAGCATAAACGCTGCATATACATATTTAGTATACTACAGTGAAGTCTACACATAGTTCTGAAAATGATATATTTTAATAAGTATGCAACATATATGTATATCCTAAACAATTTAGATTGACTCGCAATTGCTAAATTTTAATGTTGGGAATATGAGATCATTAACAATATGAAGAGTGGCTAAGTAACTATTATAAAGGATAATCTAAAACCAAGTATTTACACGAAATATAATAAACAAATGATTCTCACTGCAGGTAGAGCTTAACTTAATTCCATTAAATGCAAATACTCTGGTTCGTATTCCTTCGTGAAAAGGGTGATACCTAAAACATCCATGGTATCCATCTGTTGTAAATCCGCTTTGTCGGACTTGGTATTTCTCGAAGGTACGCTCGAGCTCTCTACAACATTTGTTAATTCCTTCCTGATCAACATCTACCTACGTTCCGCGGTGGGTGGGCGTGATTTAGTCGCTTCCATTTCATCTGTGGTCACTGTAGCCTCAGCTGTAAATAATTTACCAATCTTTACATTTTAGTAATCAACACCATCACCTCACATACGTGCGCTTTACAAAATTAAAAACTATAAAAAAACATCGCTTCTATATTCGGATGTGAATTAAAAGATAGTCAAAACATATCTGACATAGAATGGAAACCCAAGAAAGAAAGTAATGATATTAAAAACAGCTAAAACCAGTGTTATTGGATTCAACCTTGCATTAACCATATAGTAAGATAATAGCACGACGTCAATGCCCTACCTTTATATTTAATCTACGCTACTATTTATGTTTCAATGTTGTTTCGGCATTTAAATAAATCATAAACATGGTAGTTACACTGTATATAAGAAAGAGTTTAATTAAAAAGGATAACAAGGCCATCAAAACGACATCGGAATTCGAAATCGATACAAAAGCCAGGCAAAACCCGGAATAACCCGGGATACGTCAAAACAAACGAGGAGACGTCATAAACTCCTGGAATAGATACTGGATGTTTTAGCAAAGATGAACGCGCGTGGTATCATTTGTTGTTCCTGTAATCATGCCTCCATTCAACTTAAGGAAAGTTACCTGTGACCCTAAACAGTTACCTAAGTCACTTATCAGTTACCTGTGTCACTAACCAGTTACCTGTGTCACTAACCAGTTACCGGTGTCACTTACCAGTTACCGGTGTCACTAACCAGTTACCGGTGTCACTAACCAGTTACCTGTGTCACTTACCAGTTACCGGTGTCACTAACCAGTTACCGGTGTCACTAACCAGTTACCTGTGTCACTAACCAGTTACCTGTGTCACTAACCAGTTACCGGTGTCACTAACCAGTTACCGGTGTCACTAACCAGTTACCTGTGTCACTAACCAGTTACCTGTGTCACTAACCAGTTACCGGTGTCACTAACCAGTTACCGGTGTCACTAACCAGTTACCTGTGTCACTAACCAGTTACCTGTGTCACTAACCAGTTACCGGTGTCACTAACCAGTTACCGGTGTCACTAACCAGTTACCTGTGTCACTAACCAGTTACCTGTGTCACTAACCAGTTACCGGTGTCACTAACCAGTTACCGGTGTCACTAACCAGTTACCTGTGTCACTAACCAGTTACATGTGTCACTAACCAGTTACCGGTGTCACTAACCAGTTACTTGTGTCACTTACCATCTAAAACGTCATACCATCAACATAGGAACAAATCCTACTGATACGATACACGTAAACGTCACATTGAATGCACCAGGAAAATGAGAAAATATACAACATGCCAAAAATTTATAAACATTTGATATAAAAAGAATATAGCTGACCTTTCTTACCAGCCGTTGTGTTTTTTCGCATGTCCTTGGCATGGGTTAGTATAGACTGCAGCTGGTCTGTTTATAGAACACATATCGGAGTTATACAACAAATTCCTATTATCTTCAAGTGTGATATTAATGTCATTATTTCTATATTTAATACATACATTGAACAATACTGTCTTCGTTGTAAGTTACTATAATGCAAACAAGCTACAAAACAAAGACAAGGGAAATAACTCAAATTAAAGTAATTTAGGCATGTACTCTCAAATTGATATAATAGTGTGTTTTTTTACAAAATATGGTGCTTAAATATAGAAATAATTTGGACGGCTTTCCAATCAAAGACGAAATTTAACTATGTAGTTATTTAAGAAATGAGGTAGGGAATCATGTATGACTACTGTTGTTTAAATTGTGCTATCTATATTCCTGAGCCTGGCTTTCAACTTTGTATGTGATATCCATGTTAACAGAGCCAGGCCGAGTCATCAACAATTTTCACTGCAAATCTTTTCAGACTATTTTATTTTTGATTGGTCAAATTCGTAATGTGTTACCAGCATAGATTATGAGTGAGAATTGAGTTAGATCTGGTCGGCGTTGTGACGTGAAACCTGGGTAAGAGGACAGATAAAGTTAAACTAAAGCGAACGAGCAGGTAGTGTTTCAATACATAGGGTACAATCTTGGAACCGTTTCTTTGTATTGAACATAATATATATAATTATAAAGGAAAACGATATTGTTAAAAATATAAGCAAGTCTTATGCGATGGGTTTCAGAATAGATAAACGTAATTATAGGTGTTGCATTACATATTTTTACACGGGTTTGCTGCAAAGAAGATCGTCAATTACATGATATTTTGCTATGGATGTCATTAAAAGTATACCACATAAATAAAGCTGTGTTATACAAAACTCTTTCTTAGATAACTAATTAGGTAGATATAATATTCGCCTCACTGCTTTCAAAAAGACTCCGCACAATGATAAATCATGCTTGTTCATGTGTGATATCTTACCCATAGTAAAAGATACCATTTCCTTTTCATCCAAGGATAGAACGTCAACGTCTTCCTCTGAAATGTTAAGAGATTAAATGGTTATATAAACAAATTGCTAAGCCAATAAATAAGCTCAAAATGAAAAGGTCAATGTCCTCATAAAAAGAGAGACACTTATTGCCCTTTGTTAGGTTGCGTTACTATTGCATAAGAAACGAGCAATTTACTGATTAAAATCATCTAATGCCACTTTTTATTTTTGTGTGCAACTTAACATTATTGTATTAATATATACATTGAAGTATTGAATTATATTTTCTATTTTTTTTTTCTCAAGATTTTCGTATTTAACACTGTTCAAGGAGTTTTCAAAATACCCAAAAGTTAACATATACTTGTACAAAGCAAGTCCTCCAAAGAGGTATTCCATACTGATAGCGTTAATATTCTAAACTAATAACACTACACAGGGGTGTGAATAACTTGCCTTACTTTTCATTTTTTTTTTTTCATACCAAAATTTGCAATGTTAAGTATTTAATAATGGAAGTAGTATATTCCATGTGTTATTGGAAAGAGATTCATTTCGCCTATAAATACGTAGTATAATTTTTTAGTATGCATAGTTTTCTTTCATATATTTACTTAAATCTTTGGTAAAATAAACCGAAAAAGAAGCAAAAATAGAAGTAGGATATAGAGCTAATTTTTGTCCATGTTCAAATTAGATTAAATTATAAGCAACATAAAATTAAATGTATATTAAACTTTAGAGCATACTTTTTTGCAATGTTACTCATTCCGTTAAACTGAATAACACATTTATACAAAAACAAAATGCGAAATTATAATAATAGTATAATGTAAATGATAATTTCGATCCCTCACCTTTCCCATCTGCAGGCTTTACAGTTTCCGTGTCGGTTACCTTAAACATATTGATGTTTAGAATTATGCAAAATGTTTATTTCTTATGAGATTATTTTTGCAGTAAGAAAACTGATCGGTTGAAGGTAAGTCACACCTAGATATCAGGAAATGTGTTAGTACCACGTACATGAAGAAAAGAATAACGTTATTAATACTTTAGAGGATAATGCCAAAAAGCTACTTTCACAAATGTATTCTAACGGTAATTTATATAAGAAAAAACTTGTATAAAAATATTATGACAGTTCTATGTGTTTTTACTTGGAACCATTGAATGCCATAATTGTCTAATGGTATTTATACGACTAGAATATGACATTACAAAGTTTGATTGGTGGTGTTTTGTAAAGTTTCAAATTATTTTCCTGGTGGAGGTGACAGATTACATAAAATACCAGTTATCGTAACGTAACATATGAATAAATCCTTGGTTACGCTTTGTGAACCAGTCAACAATGCATCTTTAAAAATATGATAAACAATTCGAAATAAAAAAAATACTTAAAATGGTTTCAATAGATGCTGATAATATTGTTTTTGTAATCTGTGTTTCTTTGGGGCTTTTACTTGTTATGATTAATTTTGTTACCGCAACTGAACAAATAACAATCAATTAAATGTCATCTAAACACAGTGTATGATGAAAGTATCTAGGAGTGTAAAACGTAATAGTACTTTATCAAATACAATGTTGTTGTTTTAATATTCTTTACTGTATTTCATTAAAGCTTTTGTCTCTATCACAGCTCATACAATGTGTATAGGATCCTGCTACACAAGAGGAGCGTTTAGACCTTTACCAGACAGATACTCTACAGATCATTACACTACACAAGAGGGACGTTTAGACGTTTAACAGACAGAAACTCTACAGATCATTACACTACATACATTAATGTAAGAGGAACGTTTAGACGTTTAACCGACAGATACTCTAGAGATCATTACACTACACAAGAGGGACGTTTAGACGTTTAACAGACAGGTACTCTACAGATCATTACACTACATAAGAGAAACGTTTAGACGTTTAACAGACAGATATACTCTACAGATCATAACACTACACAAGAGGAACGTTTACACGTTTAACAGACAGATACTCTAGAGATCATTACACTACACAAGAGGGACGTTTAGACGTTTAACAGACAGGTACTCTACAGATCATTACACTACACAAGAAGAACGTTTAGACGTTTAACAGACAGAAACTCTACAGATCATTACACTACATACATTAATGTAAGAGGAACGTTTTGACGTTTAACAAACAGATACTCTACAGATCGTTACACTACATTAATGTATGTAGTGTAATGATCTGGACATTAAACACCATGAACATTAAATACCATGGACATTAAATACCTTGGACATTAAATATCATGGACATTAAATAACATGAACATTAAATACAATGAACATTAAATACCATGAACATGGTATTTAATGTTCATAGTATTTAACAGATACTCTACAGATCGTTACACTACATAAGGGGAACGTTTAGACGTTTAACAGAAATATACTATACAGATCATTACACTACATACATTAATGTAGTGTAACGATCTGTAGAGTATCTGTCTGTTAACCGTCTAAACGTTCCTCTTGTGTAGTGTTATGATCTGTAGAGTATCTGTCTGTTAAACCTCTAAACGTTCCTCTTGTGTAGTGTAATGATCTGTTGAGTATCTGTCTGTTAAACGTCTAATCGTTCCTCTTATGTAGTGTAACGATCTGCAGAGTATCTGTCTGTTAAACGTCTAAATGTTCCTCTTGTGTAGTGTAATGATCTGAAGAGTATCTGTCTGGTAAAGGTCTAAACGCTCCTCTTGTGTAGTGTAATGATCCGTAGAGTATCTGTCTGGTAAAGGTCTAAACGCTCCTCTTGTGTAGTGTATTGATCTGCAGGGTATCTGTATGTTAAACGTCTAAATGTTCCTCTTGTGTAGTGTAATGATCTCTAGAGTATCTGTCTGTTAAACGTTTAGACGTTTAACAGACAGATACTCTACAGATCATTACACTACATACATTAATGTAAGAGGAACGTTTAGACGTTTAACAGACAGATACTCTACAGATCGTTACACTACATAAGAGGAACGTTTAGACGTTTAACAGACAGATACTCTACAGATCATTACACTACATACATTAATGTAAGATGAACGTTTAGACGTTTAACAGACAGATACTCTACAGATCATTACACTACACATGTATGACACGTTCAGCCTTCGAGCGAATATGTTTAATATTTCTGTTTTCCACAGTGGCTTCATAGTTTACATTGAAAAACATTTTAGCTTTAGATGCTGATAGTTAACGATTTCCATTTGGTTTTAGATATATACCGATGTTGCTACTTTGTTATTTGAGAATTCGGTAGTATGATATGTATAACTGTTTAACCACGATAAAACCAATGCAATTTCGTTGATCCTCTTCTGTTAATATAAGAGCTACATGTTCATTTCCATAGTTTGCCTAAGGGGAAAATTTCCAATCTAATCTACTGGCATGGTGTATATTTTATTGCCGATATGATGGTAATACTAGCTCCCATTTTCAGTCTTTTAATCATTGATAATAATCTCCGTTAATATATAAAACAACAATTGCCAGACGATTCATTCACTTTTCATTACAATGCGAATAAAATGTCAAACCATTTAATCTAGCGGAAAACTCGGACTACGGAAATGTCACGCGCTGGAGCCCTACGTATCGCGCGCCGCAAATGACACCCGCCTAGCGATTGGTTACTCCAGGGGATGATAATTATACGTTTGGAAATCCTTGCCGATAGAACAGAACTAATGTCGCTGAAGCAATTCAATTAAACGACAGTAAAAGTGAACGTAATACAATGCGCCTATTTACATGCGTTTGTGTATTAATTTCATTCCGATGCTGTGCTTCTTTTCGTGTTGCCTGTTTATACGACAAATTAATGTAACCGTTTGCCGTAAAGTAAGGAAACAGACATTTAGCAGACGTGGAAATGAAGCACGGACATGCATCATGTTCTCTTCCTCTATAACTAGTTATCTCCTTACATCGAAACATATATATGAGTAGCAATGTCATAATATTGCTATTACAACTAACCCTATATTCCTGTTTAAACGAACTAATATCTGTCGTTATGGTTGTGTTATTATGATTGCTTAGGGAAAAGAATGACGCTGAAATGCAACTTACCCTTTTTTTGGCAAAGAGTATTGAATAGGAAATGTTACTAGGGCAATAAAACATGTTAACTATATGGAGTATTGCTACATGTCAGAAACATGATATCATGCCTGAAGTATTCTAAGAGTAATGACTATTTCATAACTATGTTGTAAAATTATTCATTCGAAAGAATAACGGTATCAGAAGTTGGATAATGTTTATAGACTTTCAAAAGCTATTGAACTCAAGCCACAACGAAAACTATCATAAAAGATAACATTGATTCCTATAAATATTTTATCTGAATCATACACGAGTGTTCCCAACCTGTATGAAGCACATTGTTATAGGGTGATCAGCTGTCTACACTAATATAGAAAAATATCCAGTCAGCAGGATATGGTTGATATTACAATTCATGATTGTAAAACTACCAATATACTTCAGCGAGGTCTGATATCGACCACATTTTTTGTTTGATCCTAATTATTTGCATTCAAAATGTAACGGAAGAGGTCAAAGGTATTTAATGTCCATGGTATTTAATGTCCATGGTATTTAATGTTCATGGTGTTTAATGTCCATGGTATTTAATGTTCATGGTATTTAATGTCCATGGTATTAAATGTCCATGGTATTAAATGTTCATGGTATTTAATGTTAATGGTATTTAATGTCCATGGTATTTAATGTTCATTGTATTAAATGTTCATGTTATTTAATGTTCACGGTATTTAATGTTCTTGGTATTTAATGTCAATGGTATTTAATGTCAATGGTATTTAATGTTCTTGGTATTTAATGTTCATGGTATTTAATGTTCATGGTATTTAATGTTCATAGTATTTAATGTCCATTATATTTACTGTCCATGGTATTTAATGTTCATGGTATTTAATGTTCATGGTATTTAATGTCCATTATATTTACTGTGCATGGTATTTAATGTCCATGGTATTTAATGTTCATGGTATTTAATGTCCATGGTATTTAATGTTCATTGTATTTAATGTTCATAGTATTTAATGTCCATGATATTTAATGTTCGTGGTATTTAATGTCCATGATATTTGGCGTTCATTGTGTTTAATGGTCTTTGTATTTAATGTCCATGGTATTTAATGTCCATGATATTTGATGTTCATGGTATTTAATGTCCATGGTATTTGATGTTCATTGTATTTAATGTTCATGGTATTTACTGTTCATTGTATAAAATGTTCATGGTATTTAATGTTCATGGTATTTACTGTTCATGGTATTTAATGTTCATGGTATTTAATGTTCATTGTATTTAATGTTCATGTTATTTAATGTCCATGATATTTAATGTCCAAGGTATTTAATGTCCATGGTATTTGATGTTCATTGTACTTAATGTTCATGGTATTTACTGTACATGGTATTTACTGTTCATGGTATTTATTGTTCATTGTGTTTAATGTTCATGGTATTTAATGTTCATGGTATTTAATGTCCATGGTATTTACTGTTCATTGTATTTATTGTTCATGGTATTTAATGTCCATGGTATTTTATGTTCATGGTATTTAATGTTCATGCTATTTAATGTCCATGGTATTTAATGTCCATGGTTTTTAATGTTCATTGTATTTACTGTTCATGGTATTCAATGTCCATGGTATTTAATGTCCATGACATTTAATGTTCATGGTATTTAATGTCCATGATATTTGGCGTTAACAGGTGGATTTCATTGAAATTTTTCATGAATTATCAGTATCTTATGTAGTTGTGCACCGGCATTTTAATTTGAGATTTCGACCCTTTTTGGTGGAGTTATACCCCTTTTTGTGAAATACTTGTCCGTGCAACTCCTTCTTAACTAACAGGTGGATTTCATTGAAACTTTGTATGAATGATCAGTATCTTACGTAGTTGTGCACTGGCATTTTAATTTGGGATTTCGACCCTTTTTGATGGAGTTATGCCCCATTTAACAAAAAAAATATTTATCATGCTAAATACGTTGAATTATAACTCTCAAATAAACATAAGTTGCCAGAAGCGGGGGTATTAGTCAGCCATCCTGGCGACAGCTAGTTGAATTTGATGTTCATGGTATTTAATGTTTATGGTATTAAATATCCATGGTATTCAATGTTTATGGTATTAAATGTCCATGGTATTTAATGTTCAAGGTATCTAATTCCCGTACGGAAAATATGTCGTTGATATTGTAATAGGTTGTAATTCAGTGAAAACAGTTTTAAATATGATATATTTATATTTTATATTCAGTAACTGTATATATTTAATTCCCTATATACGCTGAATGTTTCTGAGAACACTCGACAATCACTCATCATACTTAACATTTAGTATAACCCATTTCTAAATAACCATGTTACATGAACGTTTATCATCGTTGATTTGATTTTTTTCTGAAATTTCTTGAATGTCACGAAACACAATGCTTGAGTGCCTTACATTAATTGAATATTTATACTATTATCACTGTTAACATAAATGTAAAATCCGTTTACGTTTCCATTTCTTCTGCGAAACTATTTGGTTAAAACCTAGCTAACAGTCGAGATAGTATGTCGATTTAATAATGATAGTTATAGTTAAATAAAGACATAGTTTCTTGTCTTTATCATACAAAATATTCACCTGAGGAACTGTCTTCATACTCTTGGTCCTTATGCATTCATCTATACCTTTGGAAGCATAACTCCTATTGTGTTCTAAGTCAATACGATGTGGGTTATCTCCCTTCCTCTTCCGTTCTAACTTGTCGTATCCAGTGGGGGATCTAGCATCGTAACGAGTGTCCTCGTGCGCTGAGACGGGGTACTTCCAGTCGTGGTCATAGGTTAACTCTGGTTTCTTGTTACCGATGATAGATGCTATGTTGAACGCATCGGTGTGAACAGATCTTTTCTCCGTCGCGCATGCACTGCTGGTCGCTGATTCTGTTGGTGTCGGTAACAATCTCGGTTTCCTTCCCTTCAGTTCATCTGTGTTTGGATACACATCACGGTTTTCCTGCATATTAAACGGTAGCATGAAATTGCTGTTATCGACAGGTACTACCTGGCTGTTAGGAACATACCAGGGTTTCCACCAAGGATTATAATGCATACTGAATGATCTTAGCATCTCCCCGTACGACCCAATACTAGATGTGCCACTCTGACTGCCTAAGTTAAAGGCGGGATGTGCTCTCTCTGGAACCTTCATGGGGCCATGGCTTGTTCCTTCATAACGTGCCATTGATGATAGAGACGAAGGGCTATAGCTTTGGTCGATTTTGTAAGGCTTCACAGAATGACCAGGTAGTTTCGTGCTGCATGTAGACATCTTCTTGCGACATCCTCCGTTGAACATTGACTTCACGTCTTCCCATGAATGCAGCAGTTTCTCAGTTGGATCCGGATCGGTAAGCAGCAAATGACGTCTCCAAGAATTGAAATTTGCAGCATCAGGATGTCTATACGTTGAATTCGGGGACTTGTGGTAATGAAAGATAAATTTGTTGGGAGAAAAGTAGGCATTGCAAAAAGCACACTTGATGCATTTTGCTCTCGAACTGTTATATCGTGACGGAATGAACTGACCTTGGCACCCCCAGCCACAGCTGTGGTACACGTTAAACGAGAAATTGTCCGGGAGTCTAGGCGGCGGAATTTCTTCTAAAAAGGATTTGACCAATCGCTCTGCTTCTCGTTTGGTGATGAGTCCACATCGCCTGGATGACACCGGCATGGCTCCAGTGCGGCGGAGAATCTCAAGTTGGACAGGGGTACACTGTAGACACGTGATACCAAGAGCTACCCGGCGGTTGTGAATCTCGTTGTAACTGAAGTCCCTTAGGAGGGTGTTAGAGATCTGTGCCAGACAGAGGCGTTCTTTGTCTTCTATGAGGAGACAGACTATAGGGACACTGAACAATTCGACGGTACCAATCTTGGCCTCGCGCGTGCTATATTCAACTTCCTCTGGTGTCATGTCGGCAGAGTGTCCGGAATGATCTGACAGCACTGATTCCTGCTGTTCCCATGTAGTTTCTACAATACAAAAAAGATAAAGACACATTACCTTACTTCTTAATGAGATAACAATAAGAAACAGAACAATTATAAAATCATCATCAAAATTCTATCCATGTCAATATGATTTTCAGAGTATTTGTTTTGCTTAGATTGATGAGTCCTTACAATCAATTAGTCTTGATGTCATGTTAAGACAATTTGTATAAATGATATGGGACCAGTCAAGAGGCTCAATGAAAAAATTAAATCCTGGACTAAGTAGCTTTACATTTAGTCTCTTTCTTATGACAGAGGTGCCTAGATTATATTCCGAACAGAAAGAGTATGAAAGTTAAAGGTATAGGTCCAGAGTAGAGCTAAGGGAGCAGGAAGTTCATGTTAGCCTATTTTGTGTCCCCAGTCAGATTGCAATGAAGGAAGATCACTGACTCTGAAGGGGACTCATATTTGTCGCCTCGCACAACAAAATATTTACATTTGCGCTGCAAAACGTTTCGGGTGATAATATTATGAACCAAAAGTGAGTAGTAATATGAACAATGCGGAAGTCACGTTTGACTCTCGTTTGGGATTTCTGGACGAGATGTTGTATGGTAGATACACGAATCCATGGTACAAGTAACAATAATCAAAATTTCATTAAAAAAGCATTTCGATGTGTGACCACAGAAACGATACACCTCTTCGATCATATAACCGGTCAGTGTCGTAGACACAAAAGGAAGCACTCAGTAACACGCTGTCCGTCATTGTAGACCCTCAGCCTCGTGTCCCGTATATCTACCTCCCCCAGCTTCGTCTGATATGTCGCTTTCAGTATCACACGGCTCAGGTACCACGAATGAAGATACGTCTGTTGTTCCTGCATTCGCAATGCAGTCTACTAGCAATATAATGTCTATTCCGGGTTCTTTGCCAGCTCAACATTCAACAATTAGTTTAATTTCAACAAATAACCGGATGGCGACATGTTTTCCCATCGCGACCGAATTACTGATTTGTGAATTTCACACGCAGTGTGACGGGATTAACGTGCGATGTTAATGAGCAGTAGTGCTATTGTTATTCTTTGTTGCTTTAAATGCACTTCTATGATCATAACAATGAAAACTTTCAAATAAATATGTATGAATTTACATAATACTTATCTTATTTTTGCTGTTTTCCACGGACTTTATTGGGCAATTTTCCTCACAGGAAAAGTGCGTTCGTAGGGGCTATTCAGACAGGTCAACATTCCAGAGGATATTGCGGGATATACCAATATTTCATAACGTAATTATGTTTTTAAGGACAAAAAAGCATGAAACTGTAAAAATAAGTATCAAACTGCTTTAAGATGCCATTCATAGGCAATATGAATGCCCACTGCATTACAGGAAAATGACATGAACCGCTAGCAGTTCAATGCTTAAATACAAGTCAATTAATTTAGGTAAAAGGTAGCAGCAAGTTTAACTATATTATTACCATCGTAACTATTGTGAAATATTTGCTTTATTTTTTTTTAAAAGTATTATTCCTTACAAATCAAACGTTGTCATGCCTTTTATAGAATTATAGTTCGTATAAAAAAGTTTGAATGTTTGCAATTGAAATAACTAAAAAAAAATACTGGTGTCGAACTCCGGACCTTAACATTACAAAGCCTTCACTTAGCCAAATGTTGCCATCAAGGAATTATATTTGCGATGCATCGAAATGAGCGCCAAGTTATTGTGCCGCGAAGGCAACGAGAACACTTAACAGGGGAAGTTACTTTAAGCCAGGTACATTGTACCTTCATCTTTTAAGAAGATGGGAGACAACTCCAAGTTATAAAAAGCTTTGAGAGGAACTTTTTTCTTTTTCGCTATAAAAACATATTCAGTGGTACCCTTTATCTTAAAGCCTCAATAAAATGATTTATTTGCAATTTTATTACGCAATGAAGATGAACACAAAAAGTAAAATGTAAGTAAGATAATGAGTTGTCATATTCCTGCAAATTCTTATCAACTAAGCATCAGAAATAATTCGACTTATCGGGATAAAGCTGTTCTATTATGCTATTTAAGCGAACATATCACGATGCATGTAACTATCTCGCTATGTCGACACGGTTCAATTACTGAATATCTCGCTTTAATACTTTCGACACTACCAATGCCAACTACCGCCACGACTAATATTTTTTGATGATTAAGTCAAAAAAACAAAAAAACACAAAGAGTCGGGCAACTTACATTAGTATCTTTATTTGGAAGCCTTTGACACGCGCACAGGCTGTTTGTTTGTTTGTTTGTTTGATTTTGTTTAACGTCCTATTAACAGCTAAGGTCATTTAAGGACGGCCTCCCCTGTGTGCAAGATGCATGCGTGTAGTGTATGTGTGTGTATTTTGGGAGGCTGCGATATGTTCGTGTTTGTCTTCTTGTAATAGCGCGGAACTGATGCCGACACGCGCACAGGCTGGCGGTAAAGTAATTGTAATACCCATAATGACACCATTTCGGTTTACTGCACTAGAAGTGTTCCGAGTGTTTAAGCTGAATTGTTAACGCGCCAAAATTAGTGATGACAATCGAAGGAAAAGGTGGTGTCGAAATAAAAAAAGGCGATACATTCAACTATTTAAGTTTAATTAATTGATGGCAGAAATATGCCAGCAAACGAAGGTTATATATTAAAAGTGGTTTTAAGTCAACTTATTCGGATGGTCGAATGACACAGTTGATATGGCAATCGACTTTCACTAAGGCCACCGTAGTTTGATCGGACGTGAAAAGGTAAAGTGTCACCTGCTCGACTAAGTTCATGCACGTGTTTTTCCCGGTATCCCCGTTTTCCTGGCGTACACATATTTCGCAAAATATATAAAGTTTATGTGTTTCGACTTTAAGTCAACAGAACAAAATCTTTATCCATTCAGATACAGCAAACAGTACAGCTTAGCCATATACAGATATAGTAAGTCTCTAATTACCCAGAACATAGTTGAAAGGTGTATGGTTTATGCCGATTCTAGAATTATATGTTGGGGGGGGGGGGGGG